AGTTGGGTGGGCAGGGTGAGCTCAGGCACTGAGATGGTGGGTGATAGAGTCAAAAATCTCCAAAGTGGTTCCAAGGCCATGAAGACAGGTTCACCCTAAGTGCTCTCCCAGACTGGGCTCAAGACTCCCAACGATCAGGCAATCAGGTTGAACCTAGGCCAGTGGGACATTGGGCCATGGATTCCAAGAGTTCCACAGTGGCTCTCAGGTCCTGAGCATGAACTCACCCTAATGGCCTACCTTTACCAGGTACAAGACTCTAAGTGGGCTGGCAGGTGAGCCCATGTCACTGGGACAGGGGGCAATAACATTCAAAATTCCAAAGTGACTACCAGGCCCCAAGCATGGACTCAAACTACAAGATTTCCCAGAATAGGCTCAAGAATCCTGCAGGGTGTCTAGATAGGGTAAGCCCAAGCCCCTGGGAGAGTAGCCAATGGAGTTATAGTTCCAAAGCGGCTTCTAGGCCCTGAGTATGAACCATCCTGAATACCAGACATTACCAGGCATAAGACTGGGTAGGCAGGCAGAGTGAGTTCAGGCCAATGGGTGTGGGTAATGGAGTTAAAATTCCAAAGTGACTCCCAGGCCCTGAACACTCAGCCTAAAGGCCAGCCCATAGTAGGATCAAGACTCCTAGCAGAAGGGCAGCATAAGTCCAGGCCACTGGGACAGTAATCAATGGAGTCCAAAAGTTCTGATGTGGAACACAAGCCCTGAGCATGGACTCATCCTAAAGACTTGAGACTCCTGAATAGTGGGCAGGAAAGCCCAGGTCACTGGGATGGTGAACAATGAAGTCCAAAAGTTCTGAAGTGACTCCCTGGCTTTGATCACAGACTCACTCTAAAGGCCTATTCAGATTGCCCTAAAGCCTTCTTGTGGGAAGGAAGTCAGGGAGAACCCAGACGCTGGGATGGTGGGAGATGAAATCCAAAAGTTTCAAAATGACTCCCAGTCTCCAAACATGTGCTCATTTTTAAGACTTGCCCAGACTGGATTTAAGACTCTAGACAGCAGGAAAGCAGTTGAGACCAGGATGCAAGGATGGTGAGTGATGAAGTCCAAAATTCTGAAGTGACTTGCAAGCCCTGATAACAAATAATCCCTAAAGCCCTGCCTGTATTGGTAGAAGAATCCCAGTGGGCAACTGGGCAGGGTGAGCCCAGACTTCTGGGATGTTAGGTGATGAAGTCAGTGGTTTCCATGGCCCAATCATTGTCTTACCCTAAAGGCCTACCCACATCAGGCTCAAGACTCCCAGAGTAAAGGCAGAATAAGCCCAAGATACTGGGATGATGAACAAAAGAGTCCAAAAGTTCTGAAATGGCTCCCAGGACCTGAGCACAAACTCACACTAAAGGCCTTCCTAAATTGGCACAAAACTCCCAGTGGGCAGGTGGGGAGCAGTGAGGGGAGGGGGGACAAGCCCAGACCACTGGGACAGTGGCCATGGGGTCCAAATTTCCAAAGTGGTTTCAGGTTCCCAGTATGGACTCACCCTAAAGGCCTGCCCAGACTAAGCTCAAGATTTCCAACAGACAAGGGTTGGGGTGTGTCTAGGCCACTGGGATAGTGAATGATGGAGTCAAAAAGTTCCAACATAGTTCCCATGCTCATGCCCTGAACACAGACTCTCCCTAAAGGCCTACCCAGGTCAGGCTTAGGCCTACCCAGGTCAGACTAGGTTGATTAGTCCATGCATTTATGTATTTTTTAGGGTTTTAGGTTTAAATAGATATTGCTAATTCCATAATTATCATAGAAGATGCTAGATATAGTTCCTTTTTAATACCATTTTTTAATTTAAATTTACTTACTTATATTCATATTATAATACATCATTATATTATACAAAATTAGATATTTTATACAGAATACACTGTATATTGGCTCAATCAAGCAAATCAACATATATATTACCATCAACAAATATTTTTTCATTTTTTGATTCCTTATATTTTGCTTTTTTCCTATCCTTAATACACTCTCACTCTCTGCCATCTCCCACCCTCCTCCCACACTGTCTCTGATATCAATGGTTATTTTCTATGCCTTTCCCCTCACATTTTACTGACTCATTAAAGATCTTAATTAATCTAAATATTGGCAATAGCAGGAACAGCTGATATATACATATCCAAGAACACAAGTCTAAATTTAGGCATAAACCTCAGTGAGTACAATCTACCTACTATAAAGTAGCACCTAGCTGGGACTATATAGCTTACTGCAGTCATCAAATAGTTTTTTTTTCTTTTTTCTTTTCTTTTTCTTCATTTAACTTTCTTCCATACATTCAATCACACTATTACTTGTCTTACAAAATGATATATAAACAGGTGAACATTTCTCCCTAGTATCTTCAACAGATAATATCACACCTCTTTTGGCTACTAATGCTTTGCTTCCCTGTCCATTCCCCAAATGTCCTTCCTCAGACTCTCCTCTTTTACACACACTATATCTGGTATTTACATCTATATATTGCTTTTCTATATTCTTTAGACAGTTAGTTTCATTCATAGAGTGCAGACACTTGGTATATATTAAGTGGAGACATACAATGCCTCTCCTTCATAGCATGGCTTCCTTCACTCAGCATTAAGTCTTCCATATTCATCCAGTTCCTTTCAAAAGCCAGGATTTTGTTGTTTTTTTAATGAATGAGTTGTATTCCATTGAGTATATGTGTCACAGTTTTTCTAACCGTTCATCAGTTCATGGGCATTTGGGTTGTTTCCATGACTTAGCAATTGTGAAAAGTGCCGCAATAAACATTGACGTGTAAGCACTTTTTTGATTAAGTATTCTTCTATCCTTCAAGTAGATACCAAGGAGTGGGATTGCTGGGTCATATGGTAGTTCTATTTGTAGATTTTTGAGAAATCTCCACAGTGGTTGGACCAATTTCCATTCCCACCAGCAGTGTAAGAGAGTTCCCTTTTCACCACACCCCGACCAGCACTAATCATTTTTTAAAATCTTTTAGCTATTCATATGTCATCTTTACAGAGTGTTTTTTTTTTTTTTAACTACTTCTCCCATCTTTTAACATGGTTGATCATCTTTTTTCCAAACAGCTTTAGTTTCTTGTGTATTCTGGTAATCAGTCCCTTATCTGATGCAAAATTTACAAAAATATTTTCCCATTCTGAGGGCTGTCGATTCACACCACACTAATTACTGTTTCTATTGCCATGCAGAAACTTCTTAGTCTGATGTAATCCCACTTGTTTATTTTGAAGATGATCAACTTTGCTTTGAGGTTCTTATTTAAGAAGTCTTCCTGAGCCAGCAGCAGCCTGGTACATGTGAAGGCACCTGATGAGCAAAGAGGCACACTGCCCCCAACAACTCCCAACCAGATCTCCTAGTCCAGGATCCACCCAGACCCCTAGGCAGACTGTGTGTCCCTCTCTTGTCAAATTAAAATAAATAAATGAATAAATAAAAAAGTTGAATAAAATAATTCTTTAAAGAAAAAGAAATATAAAACATTATTAGAGGATATTATATGTGACTATATGTCAACAAACAAAATAACCTAGATGAGATGGACAACTTCCAGGATGCATATTATCTACCAAAATTTAATCAGGAGGACATAGAAAGTCTGTATAGACCAGAACAAACAATGAGATTGAATCATTAATAAACTTCCAACAAAGAAAAACCCAGGTCCTGATGGATTCATCTAGAAATTCTTTAAGAAGAGTTAATCCCACATTCCAGTCAAATTATTTTTTAAAGATCCAAAGTGAAGTAACTCTTCCAAATTCATTTTATAAAGCCTTCATTATACTTATACCCAAAATAGACAAGGACATAACAAAGAAGGGAAACTATAGAACAATATTTCAGATGAATGTAGACAAAAAACATTCTCAACATAAAAGAAACTTTATCCAACAACATATAAAAAGATATAAATCATGACTAGTTAAGCTTTATACCAGAGATACAAGGGTGGTTCAAAATGTGCAAAACCACAGCCACCCTACCTCATGTCCAGGCTCCCCAGCCAAAGACCCACGTCCCCCAGTCAGACTGTCGTTTTTTTCTGCATCAGTCTCCAGTTCCATCTCCAGGCCCCTGGACATTACAGGACACTGAGGCAGGAGCACCACTGCCCCTGTGCCTCACTTTCAGTCTCCCCAGATCAAGAGTCATCCAGTCCCCCAGCAAGACTGTCCTTTTTCTGCAGCAGACTCCACTTCCAACTCTAGGCCTCTGGATAGTAAGGGACATTGAGGCAGGGACATCAATGACTCGTTGCCTCACTTCCAGGCTCCCCAGCCCAAGACTCACCCAGTCCCGCAGTCAGGTAGGCAGTTTTTCTTTTTTCCCTTTGCTCTTTTCCATTCTTTTCTTAATAATGGTTTCCTTTCTCCAGAGTCTGTCCTTTTTGCTACAGCAGACTCCAGTTCCATCTCCAGGCCTCTGGACAGTAAGGGCTCCCCAGCACAAGACCCACCTAATCCCCTTCTCAGGAAGCCAGATTTTTTATTTAATTTTTAGCTCTTCTCCATTCTTTTGTTAATACCCTCCTCTTCCTTTATCCAAAGACTATCCTTCCTTCTGCAGCAGCCTCCAGTTCCATCTCCAGGACTCTGGACAGTAAGGGACATTGAGACAGGGAAACCACTGCTACCCCTGGCTCACTTCCAGGCTCATCAGTCCAAGACCCATACATTATCCCAGTCAGATAGGAAGATTTTTCTCTTTTTTGTCTTTGCTCTTTTCCGTTCTTTTGTTAATACGCTCCTCTTCCTTTGCCCAAAGGCTTGAAGGTCCATCTCCTGGCCTCTGGATAGTAAGGAACACTGAGAAAGGTGCACCACTGCCCCACAGCCTGACTTCTAGGCTCCCTAGGCCAAAACCCACCCAGACTACCATTCAGGTAGGCAGATTTTTCTCTATTTTTCCTTTGCTCTTCTCCATTCTTTCGTTAATACCCTCGTCTTCCTTTATCCACAGACTGTCCTTTTTTTCTACAGTAGCCTCCAGTAGCATTTCTAGGCATTGGACAATAAGAGACATTGAGGAAGGGGCACTACTGCCCTTCTGCCACACTTCCAAACTCTTCAACCCAAAACCAACCCAGTCCCCCAGTCAGGTAGGCGGTTTTTCTCTTTTTTTCTTTGCTCTTTTCTATTCTTTCAAGAATTCCCTCCTCTACCTTTCCCCACAGAATGTCCATTTTTCTGCAGCAGCTTCCAGTTCCAAGCCAAGGACTCTGTACAGTAAGGGACATTGAGAAGGGGCAGGACTTTCCCCTCTGCCTCAATTCCAAGCTCCTCAGCCTAAGACCCACCCGGTACCCCAGTAAGGTAGATAGCTTTTTCTTTTTTTCCCTTCTTCTCCATTCTTTTGTTATTACCCTTCTCTATTTTTCTCCACAGACTTTTTTTTTTTTGCAGCAGCTTGGATACTGAGGTTGAGGTATCAGTTCCACACCAACTCACTTCTAAGACCCTCTTGGTCCCCCAGTCAGGTAGGTAGGTTTTCTTCTTCTTCTCGTTTTTTTTTTTTTGATTGTCTCTCTCTTTTTTGTTAATACTGTCCTCTTCCTTTCTCCACTTCAAGGGTCCCTTGCCTAAGACACACACAGTCCACAAGACAGGTTGGCAGTTTTTCTCTTTTTTCTTTGCCCTTCTCCATTCTTTCATTAATATGCTCTTCTTCCTTTCCCCACAGATTGTCCTTTTTTCTGTAGCAGCCTCCAGTTCCATTTCCAGGATTCTGGACAGTAAAAGACATTGAGGTAGGGGCAGCACTGTACCCCCACTACCTCAATTCCAGGTTCCCCAGCCCAAGACCCATCCAGTCCCCCACTCTTTTTTTCTTTTTTTGGAGAGGTTTTTGCTATAGGGTGCGTGCACTTGCCAGACAGACAGAGAGAGATAGAGAGATAGAAAGTGAGAAATCATACCCCAGAGGGGATGGCCACACCGCAATCCCTTCTCCTCCATTCTCCTCTCGGGATCTTGGGCACGCAAGCACACACGCCCGGCGTCAGTTTAAGCCACCAGGTCCGGGACTCGAACCGTGGTCAACTACGTGGGAGTCCAGCGACATAGCCATTACGCTAACTGCTGGTCCCAGCTTTTCTCTTTGTATTACTGGTTCTTCTCCCTTTTTTGATATTACCCTCCTTTCTTTCCCCGCAGATTGTCCTTTTTTCAGCAGCAGCTTGAAGTTCTATCTCCAGGCCTCTGGACAGTATGGGACATTGAGGGAGGGGCACTACTTCCCCCATGCCTCACTTCCAGGCTCCCCAGCCTAAAACTGACCCAGATCCACAGTCAGACTGGCAGTTTTTTATTTTTCCTTTGCTCTCTCCATTCTTTTGTTAATGCCCTTCTCTCCCGTTCCCCACAGACAGTCTTTTGTTCTGCAGAAGTTTCCAGTTCCATCTCCAGGCCTCTAGGCTGTAAAGGACATTGAGCCAGGGGCACCACTACCTCCCCCCCACCTCACTTCCAGGCTCCCCAGCCCAACATCCACCTAGTCCAAAGTCAGGTAGGCAATTTTTTTCCATTTTTTCCTTTGCTCTTCTCCATTCTTTTGTTAATGCCCTCGTCTTTCTTTCCCCACAGATTTTCTTTATTCCCCTGCAGCAGGCTCCAGTTCCATATCAAGGCCTCTGGACAGAAAGGGACATTGAGGCAGGGGCACCATTGCCCCCACCCACCTCACTTCCAAGCTCCTGAGTCCAAGACCCACCCAGTCCCAAAGACTAGTATGCAATTTTTCTCTCTCTTTTTATGCTCTTCTCCATTCTTTTATTGATACACTCCTGTTCCTTTCCCCACAGAATGTCCTTTTTACTATAGCAGCCTCCAGTTCCAACTCCAGGCCTCTGGACAGTAGAGGACATTGAGGCTGAGGCACCACTTCTCCCTGGCTCATTTCCAGGCTCTCCAGCCCAAGACCCAACCAGTCCCTGGGTCAGGTAGGCACTTTTTTCTTTGCTCTCTCTTTTTTCTTTTCTCTCTCTTTTTTCTTTACTCTTCTCCATTCTTTTGTTAATACCTTCCTGCTCCTTTCTGAAACATCCTCCAGCTCTATCTA